ATCCGCCTACCCTGGCGTCCCCCTGCCCCAGCATCCATCAACCCCGGCATCTCTCAGCCCTGGCATCCCCCTGCCCCTGCATCACCCTACCCCGACATCCTCCTGCCCCTGCATCACCCTGGCCTGATATCCCCCTGCCCCTGCATCACCCTGCCTCAGCCCTGCACTGGTTTAAGTTTAGGGTCAGGCTTAGGCTTAGGGACAGGGTTCTCCCTTCCCAGGGAAGGAAGGGTGCTGTGCTCTCCCACTGGGTTTGCCAGGCTGTAATGCCATCCTCGGGGTGTGCATCCTGAGCATGTCACAGGCCCCTGCATCACCCTGGCCTGATATCCCCCTGCCCCTGCATCACCCTGCCTCAGCCCTGCACTGGTTTAAGTTTAGGGTCAGGCTTAGGCTTAGGGACAGGGTTCTCCCTTCCCAGGGAAGGAAGGGTGCTGTGCTCTCCCACTGGGTTTGCCAGGCTGTAATGCCATCCTCGGGGTGTGCATCCTGAGCATGTCACAGTCGCTTGTCCCACGTCCTCGGGGTTTTCTTTTGTCCTTGCAAGGAGCCGGAGAGCGGAGGCTTCTGCCTGGCTGCTCAGAGCTGCCAGCTCCCCACCAGGGCACTGAAGCTGGGGGTCTCCTGCTGCAGGACCCCTGTGGGCAGCGGGGAGGAGCAGGAAGCACGGGGACTGTGGGCGGATGTGGGTGCTGGAGCTTCGCCCCCTGCCCTGGTGCAGGAGGAGGAGGAAGAGGAGGAGGCAGGAACCTGCTGCCTGTGCTCCGGGCGGGGTGAGAGTCGCTGTCACTGCACGCTGCTGTCACTGCACGCTGCTGCCAGCACATCCCACCAGCCTGGCTTTGGGGAGGGTCACGAGGATGGCCCAGGAGGTTCAGCTGCTTGATGCCCCACAGCCTGCAGCCACCGGGTCACTGGGAGCTGCCTGTGGAGGAATCAGGGTGCCAAAAATGCACTGCAGTCTGCAGCCCCCTGCAAGGTGTGAGTTGGGGGGACCAGGTGGTGGGGTGCAGTGCCATGCAGCAAAATGGGATGCAGTGCAGTGGGATATGGTGCCATGCAGCGGGGTGCAGTGCCGTGCAGTGTCACACCGTGCCATGCAGCGGGGTACAGGGCTGTACAGCATGATGCCATGCCATGCAGCAGGATGCGGTGCCAAGCAGCAGGATGCAGTGCCTTGGAGCAGGATGCAGTGCCGTGCAGCACGACGCCGTGCTGTGCAGTGCAGTGAGGTGCTGCGTGGTGCAGTGCAGCGCCATGGTGCTGCACAGTGCGGTTCAGAGCTGTACAGCACCGCGCGGTGCAGCGTCCCAGGGCGCAGCGCGGTGCCATGCAGCGCCGTGCAGTGCAGCGTGGTGCGGCGCCGTGTGACACGATGCGGTGCTGCGCAGTGGGGCGCAGTGCGAGTGAGCAGAGTGGATTGCTGCCACCCCCCTTGCTGCGACGAGCAGGACTCGAGCGCTTCCGCAGCCGTGGGACCGGGATGAAAACAAGGCTGTTTTGTGACCTGCTTTTCCGGTGTGAAACTTGCCGTAACGCTCGTGGTTGTTGAACTCCTGGTGTTGGCACCGCTGCTCACCCCGCCCCGGCTGAGCACTGGGGTGCTTCCTGGTGGGACAGTCTGCTCCAGAGGGTCCCAGCAGCCGTGGGGATCAGGGACCCTCGCCAGCCCACGTGGGAAGGACCCTGCGTCGGCCCCGCGTCCCCAGATGGCGAAGCAACCACGGGGCCGTCCTTCCTCTCTGGGTTTTCCTCCCTGCCGTGACCTGTTTGTGCTGAGCCTGCCGGCGCGCTTTCCGCGGGAGGGGGTCACGGAAAGTGTGATGGGGCAATTTGAATTTTCCTTGATTCTCAGCAGTGCCTGAGAATGGAGTTTCTGCCTCACGTGAAACGTCAGACATGGGGTAATTCCTCTCCCACCCTGAAAACGGAACAACAGCCCGTGTCTGGACCGGCCGTGGCATCCCCAGTCCCCTCACGCGAGGCTGACTGCCCCCAGGGCCTGGCATGCTTTGGGATGGAGACGCTGGGGACTCCCCTGTGTCCCTTTTGGTGTCTGGCCATGATTTGGGGTTCCTCTGCCATGGGGGCTCCATGCTCACCCCAGCTCCTTGGGTTTCTTTATCCGTGATGCTCGGCGTGATGAGTATTTGTCAAAAGAGAGGAGAGGGCTGGATCTGGTACCCGCAGCTCCCACTTTTGGGGGGTGAATGGGATGGTGAATTGGAGGACCCCACCATGGGAAAGAGGGCTGCCCCCTTTGCTGGGGGGGCACACAAGCAGCAAGCGGCACATTGCTGGGGGTACTGGGGGACAGGATGCTCCCCCCTCCACGTGCCAGGGCGCCCTTTGCAA